TCCGCAGTTTCTTTTGTGCTCGTTCATCCTGGTTCCCATGGATCTTTTTGTCGTTTCTATGTATACCTTACCACATGTGCATTTTATACGATAGACTCCAGAGGAACCCACTATCGAGAGGTTCCTCTTATCCTTGGCTGATCTGATTGATTGCTGTATTTTCCTTGTTGGCTTGAAGATTATTTTTATGTTGTGTTTCTTCAAGACTTTCCCTATCCTGTCTGTCACCCGAGAAATGAAAGGCAGATTATGCATTAGCCACTACTGGTTGTTCATCCACGTTTTGTCTTGTGGCAGTTTTGGGTCGCATGGCCATGTCGATTTCAGATGCATTGTCTCATTGTAACCATTTGATAGAAAGGCCGACTTGAGACGATCCAGTTCTTGCTCGAGGTATTGTGGCTCGCAGATGTTCCGAGCACGTTTTGTTAATGTTGTTATAATTCCATGTTTTTGCCTTGGATGGTGGGTTGAGAGTGCATGCAGGTACCTGTCTGTGTGTGTAGGTTTTCGGTACACCGTGTGGCTTAGTTTTCCTCCATTCTTTATGAGCACGTCTAAGAAGGCGATTTCCTGGTTTTTCTCCTTTTCCATGGTAAATTCTATGCTAGGATGTTGCTCGTTCAGGTGGCCTAGGAACTGGTTGAGCTTCTCTTCCCCATGACTTCAAACCACAAAAGTATCATCTACGTATCGAAGCCATACCGTTGGTTAGTGGTCAAAAGATTCTATAGCTTTCCTCTCGAATTCTTCCATAAAGAAATTGACTATGACCGGGCTGAGCGGACTTCCCATAGCTACACTGTCCGTTTGCTCGTAGAAATCGCCGTTCCACAGGAAGTAAATACCAGTGAGACATGTCCGGAAAAGCTCAACTATGTCATTGGGGAAGGTACTTGATATCATCTCAAGAGATTCCGTCAATGGCACTTTTGGGAATAGGGACACGACATCAAAGCTGACCAGGATATTTAAGCTGGTACGATGTTTGTGTCACGGCAGCGAGAGAGAAACGTTAGATTCGTCAATAAGTGTGCCTTGCGTCGTCTAACTTTGACAGACTTAAGACAATCGGAAAAATCGGCAGTTGCGGAACATGCGCTTAGTGAAGGAAATCATGAAATACTCTTTGGTGAGGTCTAGCTTCTTGCACCGACTTCCGGATACCACAATCGTCTTGTACGTGAAGCTATAGAAATCCACAAACATACGGAGAACTTCAGCAGGAAAGAAGAAACACTAAAACAACCAAATCTGGAATCCGATCCTCAAAAACGCAAGAAAGATCCCCTTGAGTACAGAGAGAGTTGAGATTAGCCAAGTGTCGCGAAGCCCTGCCCCTCCCCCACCACAGCCACTCACACATAAATACAACTTACGGTCGGGAATGCGTCAGTCTGCTACCAGAATCGGACATATGGAAGCACTTCTGAAGATGCTAGCCACGCGTGCTAGCGAAACGTCAGGAAAAAATTCCAACTTACGACGGCCATTAAGCCCGAATAAAAACCCATCATCATAGGGCACAATTAAGAAGATTTCATTATGAATGACTTTGGCAGAAAGGCGACAAACAAAGTCACATAACCTATAAATAGGAGTTTAAGGTAACACAGCATCTTGTCAAATCTACGCTTTCTAAGTATTCGATGCATTCGCTATGGCTTCTTTGGTGGCAAAACGTTTGATAAAATTAACAGAAAGTGATGTGACAGGTGCTGTGTTACCTAAAACTCCAGTAGAGGCAAATGGGGTCGTTAATTTAATGGAACTCGTTCGACTATCACTTTTCCAATCACCAAACACACATCGCTTCATCGCCTCTCGATAAAACATATCACGTTCTCCAAAAACTGCCATAATTATTAAATTTGAGCCCAAAATTGAAAAAAAAATTAATAACATTGACAATGCTATTTATAGGTTATGTGATTTTGTTTGTCGACTTTCTGCCAAAGTCATTCATAATGAAATCTTCTATTCTGGCCGAGTTCGTTTTTGTCATCTTTTTCGTCGATATCCTCCGAAATTTTGACAGACACATGATTTGTAACTTGAAATTGTCTTATTCAGTCACGTGCCTGTCAAAACTTCAGAGCAAATCGACGAAAAAGATGACAAAAACGAACTCGGCCTCTATTCCACTTTTGTGTTTACACCTATCATCTACCTATAAAGGTGGGGTGTCAAATTATAACCAGGAGACACCCTGTACCTTCCAATATTTTGTATGCCCCCCCCCCTTAATTTGGGTCTGGATCCGCGCCTGGTACGTTCTGATTGTCTGCTATATAGATCAAAAAGAAAATGGAAGCTATGACCAATCCTTGTGGTATTGTACTCAAAACTCTGTAGAGATCTTCCATTCGCTCTTGGAAGTGTCTGTCTTTGAGAAAATTCCTGCTCGACCGTAGGTAGAACCCTCGGATTCCACAGTGATCCAGTTTGTAAGACAGTCTTACACGAGGGACAGTATCAAATGCTTTTTGGGAATCTAGGTATATCCACTGGGTTTCCCTCATCAATTTCTTTAGTCCATACGTTTACGCAGTTGAGTAGATTTGTGGTAGTTGATCTACTTAGTAGAAAGCCGTGCTGTGTGGATGGTATAATATGTGTGTTTAGTAGGAACGTGGTCATTACTTTGACAATAATTTTTTCCCATATTTTACCCAGAGTGCATGTCAGGATAATTAGCCGGATTATACTTGTCGCCGCTTTTGTAGACTGGTATTGCAATTACTCGGGTACATATTTCTGGTAGGATACCCTCTGTGAGGGAACTGTTAAGTGGTGCACAATAATTCAGAAATTCTGCAGGTATTTCATCTGGTCTTGGACTGGAGTGAGTTTTTAGGTCTTTTAGAGCTTCAGTGACCGCTTCGTTATGATTATTTGTTTTAACTAGTGGGTATTTGTTTCATGTTTGTTGTGGCAAAGAAGGAAAGTTGGATAAGGATTCATTCGATTCAAACTGACTTGCAAAGATATCTGCAGTAGGTATTTTTGGTTTCCTCAATATCTGTTGGTCTTTTAGATTCTTTATTATGAGATGATTTATTTGGCTAATTAGATTTCTCTTTAAGTAAGAGTTAAAACTAGATTCAATGTTTAGACATTATCTCTTTGTCACTTGATAAGAAAAAATCCAGAAGGGAGCTCCGATTGTCTCTGAATCTGGTATCGAAGGAGATTAGTTGATGGCATCTCGATTCCTTGTAACATGTCAAGAATTCGTTGGCTTTTTGACAAGGTTTATTCAGTGTTAGTGATATCCAACATATTTCCGGGTAGTTAAAGTCTCGATAGCTAAGTAGGTACGTTAGTATTTTCCTCAAAAATCCTCTTGATTGGATGACTTAGTTCTGAACTTTCGACTAGGAGGTATATATCAGTTCGCACTGGTCTGTAAATGCATCCTATTAGGTACTTGTTTTCTGCTATCTCCATGTTTAAAAATATCGTATCTATAGCGCCAATGATGTTGCAGCTATTATTTAGGCTTACTTGATCTTATGCCTGTTTGCTTCCGCCTTCACCAATATACTAACACCACCACCTTCCTGTAACTGTCGATCAGCTGTGTTATAGTCAGCCGTAGTAATTAGAGTTCGGAATATTTTTGTTCAGCCAAGTTTCTGTTACTAGAAGGAAGGTAGGTCTCTCTTTTGCTAGTAGGTACGGAGTGTACCTAGCTCTTGTAATTTAGGATGGATTGATGAAATGTTTGTATAGAAAAATGTGATATCTGTTAGTGGCGTAATTAGTTTTTTGACTCCTTTCAGTTCCGAACTTGGTCTCGAGTGAGGTTTTGCGCTTTATAAGTTTTGGGACTCCTTTTGTTGTTCTGTTGTTTTGCGAGTGACGAGTTCATGGAGCAGGTTTTTAAATGTTCTCTTTGCGTTTGGTTTGGTTTAATGTAATATACTGTTCTTTCTTCCATTTTATGTTTTAACTTTATGATTCCCCTGGCTTCGCTTGCTTGCTCTTTATTCCCCCACAGAATATCTTGCACCTGTATCCGGTGGCTATTCTACATTCAAGCTTTCATTTAAATCAACAATGAAGTACCTACTCCTGTAAAGGGTTTAAGGGCTTAAAGTTTGGTAGGTTTGATTGATTTATCGTACCCAGTCCAGTCATTAAAAAATGAACTCGTGTTATTTTCTTATAGTGTAGTATTCTGCCTGTGATGCGGTCTTGTCAAATTCAAGTCTATCTACCTATACATGGTTCACAAACCTAACTAAGTAATAAGTTAGGCGGTATTAGGAAAGTAAATAGGTACAAAATCAAATTCTTTTTCAATGCTATTCGAGACATAAGACATAAATAAATCTTGTATGATAATATGATGCCTACGTAACTCTGATGAGCTCTATTTGTCTCCTCACTGTATAGTCTCGCAGGTATTAGGATTAAGTAAACGACTTGAAGATAAATTTAAGTTTATTTTGAAATAGGGTCGTCCATCCAGTGATACGATGAAACAATATTTCCAGAAACCTCAAATTCTTATTACTTTGTCGTACTTATGTCCCCAATAATTAGGGATTATAAGATAACAATATTATGCATCAGAATTTAAATAAAATTGAGATCAAGAAGATTAATTAAATTACATGCATTTTTTGAAGGAAGCACATACACAAAATACACACACCAACTTTAAATGTCATTGTCAAAATAAATGTCAATTTTTTTAAAATTTGAACCAACAAATAAGTTGAAATTTTGTGTTCTTCATTAAGGAAAAGCTAAAAAGACAAAAAACTGTTTTGCTGTTACGTGGAGGTACCTATAATATTATTTAGTCATAGTACCAGTACATTCTAGTTATTTTTTCGCGTGCAAATAATTATTTGAAAACCATTTTTATTGTTATTTCTCCTATCCGCAGCACCGTAGGCTCCCAAAGCGCAAAATCCGATTTCAGCGCGGCGCGCGTTAAAAATACACGTCAAGTCAGTCGATTTTCAGCAGGGGAATTTCAGTCCGTGTCTGTAGAGCCCCCAGCGAGGTACCCGTTTCTAAAATCATCAATCGGCAATTTTCGATCGCCAGGTGTTTTAAAGCAGAGTAGCCGACACAACTAGCGGTAGCGGAGCGCAGTCCCGAGGGCCCAAAAAATTCCTTCTCGGATCTCACAGTCAGCCAAATACAACACATTTATTATCGACCCTTATACCGCACTTAAATGGCTTTTCTTCGTACGGTGAGCCGGTGTAGTGTATCGAAAAAGTACGGGTTGTTGATCGATAATTTAAATAGCGGTTTCGGTGGTAAAATCGATGTGAATCAGGCTGTGCGGAAATCAACTGCAGCCGCCTCTATACTACAAGACCATGAAAAGCAGGCGGTCCAGAGCCCCAGCCCAAAGGATCCATTAGATTTGAGTTTCGATGATGCCAAGGCTGCCTTCAAGAGCAAGACGAATTGGGAGCTTATACGAGCTCTTCTCGTCTATCAGATATGCTCCTACGAGACTATTGTTGTAAATAACATGAGGGTAAGTCAATTTTGTTGATTCCTTACACTTTTCCTCCCACTTTTCTTACCTATTACCTAATGATCATTGATCCCGTCTTTTCACCCTTCCTAATCAATATTTCACATTCACAATATTTGATGGACACACTCACACTATAGGCTTCTAGGTTGTAGTTATGCAACCTAATTTTCAATTTTTCTAGTAGGAGTTCCACCTACGACTTTTCGTAGGTATGTATGTACTTACATCTCAAGTAGCACAAAAATCTTACAATTAGTTAAATCAAAAATCAAACTATTATTTTTTAATCTCTCCATCAAGACTAATTTATCCTGAAAGCAACTATAGTTTTTATTAGTTTGTCATACCAACAATTATACTTGATTATAAACTAAACTGTTTTAAAGCCAGTGAGGTGCAAAACACGCGCCTGCATTGCGGGGGGGTTACTGGCTTTCTAGGGACTAATAATTTGCTTCAGGGTGCTTGGTGGTGTGTATAGATGGCCCTGTAAAAAAACTTGAATACCTTGACTGGACCATTGTCTGAAGTAAATACTAATTTATATAACATATAAGTATCAGGTCGTCTCAAATTAGAAATATAAGTTGCGCAACGGCACCATATTTGAATTTCATCGCTTCATTATTTTTATTCAGTCAATTAAAAATACCCTTGTTTTCAGTTGGCTTTAAAAGTTCCTATCTAATTAATAAATACCTAAATTTTGAAAAAATACTGTTATCATACCATACCACATATTTAAAATTGTACCTACTGGAATGGCGCCAGTACAGTGTATGACTTAGAATTGTTCACCTACCTACCTACCAATAAGAACTTCTCAAGAGGGACAGTAGAGAGATATCGGTAAAACAGATAGCGCGTATGGACGGTAATCGTCAGGAGTTATTAGAGAGATATCGGTAACCCAAATAGTGTCATGCAGTATTAGCGCCTACGTTATTTTGACATTAAATCTATGCGCGATTCGATTTTTAACACTACGTACTAAAATAACGTTACCGCATAACGTAATTTATCCAGCATTTACGTTAAGCGCTATTTCGAATAACGTCTAAAAATAACGCCGTCGAATAATAGGTTATGTTATGTTTATTGTTTATTTTATTATTTTTGTTGTGTTCAAGTGAATATGGATTGTTCAAAAAATGGTAAAAAAGCAAATCCTCTGTCCCTGACCATGAACAACAGACAACACAAATCAAATCACAGCAAGGTACAAGTTAGGCTACGGTTATAAAATAACGTATGCGAACAGGCAAATTTTACGTTAAACTGTTTACCGATAACTCTAATTTGAAAGTATGATACCGCTTTACTTTAAAAAAATAACTCCTGACGTTATTACCGTCCATACGCGCTATCTGTTTTACCGATATCTCTCTATTTTTTTAAAGTAAAGCGGTATCATACTTTCAACTTAGAGTTATCGGAAAACAGTTTAACGTAAAATTTGCCTGTTCGCATCCGTTATTTCATAACCGTTGCCTAACTTGTACCTTGTTTTGATTTGATTTGTGTTGTCTGTTGTTCATGGTCAGGCACAGAGGATTTGCTTTGTTACTATTTTTTGAACAATCCATATTCACTTGAACACAGCAAAAATAATAAAATAAACAATAAACATAACATAACCTATTATTCCACCGCGTTATTTTTAGACATATTCGAAATAGCGCTTAAGGTAAATGCTGGGTAGGGATGTGCGATGTTTATCGATTATTAAAAAACATCGATGTTTAATACCCGATGTTTCGATGTTCCGACATCGATGTTAAAATTTCAAAACATCGATGTTATCATCGATGTTGGTTGTAAAAATCGACAATAGGAAAAGGTTAAAGATAATTTACTTGCACTAGTTCTGTAAATGGAAATCGCTATATATGCAGCATTCATAGCATTAGATCTGTAAAAATAAATCGCTACAAGCAAGATCCTAATTTATATTCGAATTTCCATCCTCTACAAACGCATGACGGTGAAATGAAGACAGATGTATTCAATCATTTATCGCACTAGCACCAGCAATATAAAACCAAAAAGTTGATTTAACACTCGTTCTTCTGGAAACGCTGCATCCCTGTTTCAAGAATGATTTGTTTAGATTGTAGGAAACGGGAAACGTGATGTGATTGTTATTATTAACAACAATAAATTATTATTTCTTCCATTTTATTATTAAAAGTTCTGTAATAAATGAAATTTTCCATATGTTTACTTTATGTTACCCTCAAAACATCGATGTTTGTAAAATATCGATGTTTTCACTTCGATACATCGGTTGCATCGATGTTGAAGTATCGATGTTACCATCGATGTTCAACATCGATATCTGTGCTCGATGTCGCATCCCTAATGCTGGGTAAATTACGTTATGCGGTAAAAAAAAAAATAACGTTATTTTAGTACGCAATGTTAAAAATCGAATCGCGCATAGGTTTAATGTCAAAATAACGTAGGCGCCAATACTGCATGACACTATTTGGGTTACCGATATCTCTCTAGTGACGTTCTCGGTTCTCGGTGACGTTATTCTATGCTGTGGTCATTCGTTATTTGCACTTTGCACCTTCTTCGTTTTACACGCTGTCTATACCTAACTTAATTTAACTTAATTTCATTGATTTTGGCTCGGATTTTGGGAGTGTGTTTGTTTTTATTATTGTTTTCAAAAACATCAACAATATGGCTTTCTTCTTCAGGCTTGTTGTTTATGGGAGCTTTCATATTCCGCAAGGAAACACAGTTCCAGAACACGAAACTAATGGCTGGTTTATACATTTGCATAGTCGTAATCATAATCATAGTCTTAGTCATAAGAGTTAAAATAATATTTTCTTATGGAACCGTTTATACACAAATCATAATCATAAGCATAAGCATAAGCATAACTCAAAGTTGGCAACTTTTAACTTTTATGATTATGACTAAGACGAGATCCAAACTGCGCAAGCGCCATTAACAGCTGATACGGAGAAAAACAATTCAAATCTGCTATTTTAGTTCTGTTTGTATTTAAATTGATCTTGAGTCATTCTAGTGTATTTAAAAAAAAGGGTCTCCATCGAGCTTCTACATGTCTTTGAATAATGTGGCAAAATGCCCTTCCTTCTGCCTTTTTTTATTGATGGGACTCACTTTCCACCTTCTTTGTTTATGGTTTGCGTTTGTTGAAGTGTTTATTAGCAAAACTCAAAAATAAATAGGACAGACCTATCACTTGTATGGTTTTCTTTCGCAGAATTTTAATTTCCACACTTTTTGAAACTTTGAAAAAGTATTAAAAGTGAATAGACGAGTTCGATTCGCAAAAAGTAAACAAATTCTCCCTACAAAAAGTCGGGTTAGAGTTGAATTTATTTTATGCTTATGACATTGTATAAACGCCTTCTAAAATTGTGATTATGATTAAGACTAAGACTAAGACTATGATTATGATTACGACTATGCAAATGTTGTATAAACCAGCCATAAAAAACAAAACAAAACAAACTGCGAAATGTGAAATGTGAAATTAATAATCAGAGGTTATGGTTATAATATTTATCAGCATTAGCAATGCAACGTTGCCAAATTGGTCCTTGGATCCTTCTGATCACTACCACTAAAAAAATTATCGTAGTAGGGGACAACTAAAAAGTATACTTTATTCATAAATATAAGAAACTGGTTTGCATTCTATAAGTATTAATAATTGGCCATTAACAGCATCAGAAACCCAGCAGTAGGTAGAGGGGGAGACAGTCGGTGGGTTGTACTAGCCCAATGCTCTGGTTATTTATTTGAAATTATGAACCAACTTTTTTTACATCAATCAAATAAATCCAAATTTATTGCAATGTTAGTTTATAAATAGTTATTTGTATACCAAGGCCGCGAAATACCTTTTTAGCGTACGAGAAAAAAATTATCACCGAGGCCGCTTGCAGCCGAGGCAAGATAATATCTAGGACGCTAAAAAGTTTCGCGGTCATGGTATACACACTATTTTTTGTGCAACTATAAAAATTATGTAAAGTTACAGAAAAATTTTATGGATTTGACGCATTTTGCACGTCAGGTGTGGAGGCCGCGAAATTGAACTTCGCGGCCTGTGTATAGCGGCCGCGAAAGCTCACTTCGCGGACGGTTGCACAAAAAGTTATTTTATTGAAAAATTACAAAAACAAGTGAGAGAGTTCAGTTAATCCTTAGCGAGCAAAAAGTCAAACAGATGACAGGCCCAGGCCCACGTGATTAGTTTTGAAACTTCAAATCGAAGATCTGAAGGGCCGCTTTCCACTTTCCAGCTGACCATTTTGAGCACGCAATCGAGCTTTTGCGCGCGCAAATGCTTCAAGCGCGTGCAGTGGCGCAATAAGGGGGGGGCTGGGAGGGCTTAGCCCCCCCAAACCCGATGATCACAAACATGATGGTAATGACACAAATTAGCCATCCGCCCTCCCAAACCCGAGCAAGCATGTCTGAGTCGCTTTCCAGTGACGCACTTTAAGCACTCCTGATGAGCTGTTCTAGAGTGCCCTGGACTGTTTATAGGCGTTCCAGTGCATTAGAGTTTCGCACAGCTGGACTGTTCGTTTTCCTCTCCCCTGCCCTCTCAAGCACCTGCTATTTCATGGGGGCATCAAAAACACGAAGCTTAAAGTAGGGTGTGTTACAGTGACACAACAGTTGTTTGGAGCACCAGAGTATATATACATATAAGTCTTTATTTAGCTTCACCAATTATTTTACAAATGAATCACTAAATATAATTAAATTTGCAATAATAAATAAATAAATAAATAAATATACATTTACTGGTACTAGTTAAGATATTATACATATCATGTCGGTAAAAATAAAAATAATCATAAACACAAGAATAAAAATCATAGTAAAAAAAAACCAGATAATTTATAAAAAACAATACACCACTGCCAATAACACACATTTAATCACTTAAAATCTATTTATGACATTCACCCAGCAAAAGAATTCTCAATTTCCTT